GAGGGATTATTTGGGACTCGTAACGAGACTTGGTGTTGACGACTTTCCCATCTCTCCCTTCCTCTTCGTCTGATCCCCTCCTCTTCGTCTGTGTATGTCTGGACCTGCCGCTTCTTCCCTGTGTATAGCGCCAGGCTCCCTTCCCACCTTGTGATGAGCATGATGTATGTTTGGTCTGCGTTGAAACATTGATTGGGCTAGTCATTAGTATTCTAGCACTCTGATTCGCTATCTTGTACTACGTGATAGAGGTCAGTCTCGGTCAGGTCAGGTCTTGTATCTAAGTCTTCCCTGCGCTATAAAGCACCATTTTGTACGTATCGGAATGCGCATTGGTGTTGAGATTCTACTTGCACTGCGTTGTCCATACAGTCCTTTTTATCACATTGCGGATCCTCGGTTTTGTATGTACATCGCCCAACTGGGCATGTAACAGTGTGTGTGTGCGTGCTTGTTATGTACTCGATTGAACTTCAATCCACAACGAATCCACACGTTCCCATACACGCATGCAATTGCAGAGTAGACTCGAAAGAGGCAATTCCACACAAAACCGGAGGGGAGATATGCACAGCGGAAGCTCAGAATACACAGAGAATTGAAAAACGAATTTCAATTCTGCAATCCCTCGTCCTCCTCCAAACAATCCAGAATACTTGTTCCAGGATTCCCCACCACGTTATCAACACCCACGGACCAATTGCTCACAAGATTTCATCGAAGTGTCTGGGAATCTTCTTCTTCCTCCCTCTTCCTCAAGCTCTAGCTATGGTGCAATCAGACTCACTTTCTTCTTTGCTTTACATACATGCAAATAGATGGCGATTCACACTGGCGCATAGTGCTCACTCAAACTCAGAGATATGGAAATCGAGAACTCAGTTCAGATCCACACTTGCTTCCACGGCTATGGCGCATCAGCGCCTGCACATCCAACCCTCGATACTGTTTCCCAACACCACTGTTCACACTCACTCAACTCTGGATCACCCTGAATACCCCACACACATTCACACTCTTGCACCTCTCTCTTATCTACAGCGGCTATGGCCACTCCACTACTAACTATCTCTACGCTGTCTTCATCCAGCCCACTTCGACTTCGGGCGCTCTGCAGACCACCTCGCACAAGACGCTGGAGCAGCGCTTCCGCATGGCTTACGCAGCGAATCAATGACTTGTTGGATGCTGCCTCTTGATTTATACTTCTGTTGGTCATTAATCTGCCCCCTTTCCTCCAGGCCCTTGGTGCACACAGTCCCACACGGTACTTGCTTGACCAGACTACGATTGACTGGGACCGGTACTGCTGACTGCACGGGGTTGCACAGCCGACTCGACGCTGTTGCACTGCCGACTCGATGCAGTTGGACTCCCGACTTACCTACAGACCTCTAGCCTATCAGTTTCAACCTCTACACAGCTGTAACCCCTACTTGACAGATCTACAGGTCGAACCCCTACAACTACAGGGACCTATGACAAAGAACAGTCACGACTGCAACACAGGTCACGGGCTCAAATCACACAGGGGTCTACTCGATACTGCACACGGGGGCAGGTAAAGTCTAGGGATC